CGAGTGAAGGAGCTAGAGAAGGAGCTGGAGAAAGAGCTAGTGAAGGAGCGAGTGAAGGAGCTGGAGAAAGAGCTAGTGAAGGAGGTAGAGAAGGAGCTAGTGAAGGAGCGAGTGAAGGAGCTAGAGAAGGAGCGAGTGAAGGAGCTAGAGAAGGAGCGAGTGAAGGAGCTAGAGAAGGAGCTAGAGAAGGAGCGAGTGAAGGAGCGAGTGAAGGAGCTGGAGAAAGAGCTAGTGAAGGAGGTAGAGAAGGAGCGAGTGAAGGAGCGAGTGAAGGAGCTAGAGAAGGAGCGAGTGAAGGAGCTAGAGAAGGAGCGAGTGAAGGAGCTAGAGAAGGAGCGAGTGAAGGAGCGAGTGAAGGAGCTGGAGAAAGAGCTAGTGAAGGAGGTAGAGAAGGAGCTAGTGAAGGAGCGAGTGAAGGAGCTAGAGAAGGAGCGAGTGAAGGAGCGAGTGAAGGAGCTGGAGAAGGAGCGAGTGAAGGAGCTAGAGAAGGAGTGAGTGAAGGAGCTAGAGAAGGAGCTGGAGAAGGAGCTAGAGAAGGAGCGAGTGAAGGAGGTAGAGAAGGAGTGAGTGAAGGAGCTAGAGAAGGAGCTAGAGAAGGAGCTGGAGAAGGAGTTAGAGAAGGAGCGAGTGAAGGAGCTGGAGAAGGAGCTAGTGAAGGAGGTAGAGAAGGAGCGAGTGAAGGAGCTGGAGAAGGAGCGAGTGAAGGAGCGAGTGAAGGAGCTAGAGAAGGAGCGAGTGAAGGAGCGAGTGAAGGAGCTGGAGAAGGAGCGAGTGAAGGAGCGAGTGAAGGAGCTAGAGAAGGAGCGAGTGAAGGAGCTAGAGAAGGAGCGAGTGAAGGAGCGAGTGAGCGAGTGGAGCGAGTGAAGGAGCTGGAGAAGAGCTAGTGAAGGAGAGTAGAGAAGGAGCTAGTGAAGGAGCGAGTGAGGAGTAGAGAAGGAGCTAGAGAAGGAGCGAGTGAAGGAGGAGTGAGAAGGAGCGAGTGAAGGAGCTGGAGAAGGAGCGAGTGAAGGAGCTAGAGAAGGAGTGAGTGAAGGAGCTAGAGAAGGAGCTGGAGAAGGAGCTAGAGAAGGAGCGAGTGAAGGAGGTAGAGAAGGAGTGAGTGAAGGAGGAGCTAGAGAAGGAGCTAGAGAGAAGGAGCTGGAGAAGGAGCTAGTGAAGGAGGTAGAGAAGGAGCGAGTGAAGGAGCTGAGGAGGAGTGAAGGAAGCGAGTGAAGGAGCGAGTGAAGGAGCTAGAGAAGGAGCGAGTGAAGGAGCGAGTGAAGGAGCGAGTGAAGGAGCGAGTGAAGGAGCGAGTGAAGGAGCTGGAGAAGGAGCGAGTGAAGGAGCGAGTGAAGGAGCGAGTGAAGGAGCTGGAGAAGGAGCGAGTGAAGGAGCTAGAGAAGGAGCGAGTGAAGGAGCTGGAGAAAGAGCTAGTGAAGGAGGTAGAGAAGGAGCGAGTGAAGGAGCGAGTGAAGGAGCGAGTGAAGGAGTGAAGGAGCGAGTGAAGGAGCGAGTGAAGCGAGCGAAGGAGCTGGAGAAGGAGCGAGTGAAGGAGCTAGAGAAGGAGCGAGTGAAGGAGCTAGAGAAGGAGCTGGAGAAAGAGCTAGTGAAGGAGGTAGAGAAGGAGCTAGTGAAGGAGCGAGTGAAGGAGCTAGAGAAGGAGCGAGTGAAGGAGCTGGAGAAGGAGCTGGAGAAGGAGCGAGTGAAGGAGCTAGAGAAGGAGCGAGAGTGAAGGAGCTAGAGAAGGAGCGAGTGAAGGAGCTAGTGAAGGAGAGTGGAGAAAGAGCTAGTGAAGGAGTAGAGAGGAGAGAAGGAGCTGAGGAGTGAAGGAGCGAGTGAAGGAGCTGAGAAGGAGAGTGAAGGAGCGAGTGAAGGAGCTAGAGAAGGAGCGAGTGAAGGAGCGAGTGAAGGAGCTAGAGAAGGAGCGAGTGAAGGAGCGAGTGAAGGAGCTAGAGAAGGAGCGAGTGAAGGAGCTAGAGAAGGAGCGAGTGAAGGAGCGAGTGAAGGAGCTAGAGAAGGAGCGAGTGAAGGAGCGAGTGAAGGAGCTGGAGAAGGAGCGAGTGAAGGAGCTAGAGAAGGAGTGAGTGAAGGAGCTAGAGAAGGAGTGAGTGAAGGAGCTAGAGAAGGAGCTGGAGAAGGAGCTAGAGAAGGAGCGAGTGAAGGAGGTAGAGAAGGAGTGAGTGAAGGAGCTAGAGAAGGAGCTAGAGAAGGAGCTGGAGAAGGAGTTAGAGAAGGAGCGAGTGAAGGAGCTGGAGAAGGAGCTAGTGAAGGAGGTAGAGAAGGAGCGAGTGAAGGAGCGAGTGAAGGAGCTGGAGAAGGAGCGAGTGAAGGAGCGAGTGAAGGAGCGAGTGAAGGAGCTGGAGAAGGAGCTGGAGAAGGAGCGAGTGAAGGAGCGAGTGAAAGGAGCTGGAAGGAGCTGAGAAGGAGCGAGTGAGGAGCGAGTGAAGGAGCTAGAGAAGGAGCGAGTGAAGGAGCTAGAGGAGCGAGTGAAGGAGCTAGAGAAGGAGCTAGAGAAGGAGCTAGAGAAGAGAAGTGAAGGAGGTAGAGAAGGAGTGAGTGAAGGAGCTAGAGAAGGAGCTAGAGAAGGAGCTGGAGAAGGAGTTAGAGAAGGAGCGAGTGAAGGAGCGAGTGAAGGAGCTGGAGAAGGAGCTAGTGAAGGAGGTAGAGAAGGAGCTAGAGAAGGAGCTAGAGAAGGAGCGAGAGAAGGAGCTAGTGAAGGAGCTAGAGAAGGAGCTAGAGAAGGAGCGAGAGAAGGAGCTAGAGAAGGAGCTAGTGAAAGGAGCGAGAAGGAGCTGGAGAAGGAGCGAGTGAAGGAGCGAGCGAGAGAAGGAGCGAGAGAAGGAGCTAGTGAAGGAGCTAGTGAAGGAGGTAGAGAAGGAGCTAGAGAAGGAGCTAGAGAGCTAGAGAAGGAGAGAAGGAGCGAGAGAAGGAGCTGGAAGAAGAGCGAGTGAAGGAGCGAGAGAAGGAGCGAGGAGAGAGAAGGAGCTAGTGAAGGAGCTAGTGAAGGAGCTAGTGAAGGAGCTAGTGAAGGAGCTAGTGAAGGAGCTAGTGAAGGAGTAGTGAAGGAGTAAAGACCACTGAAGTCTTCACCTCTGTCTATTCGTTCAGTTGGGGTGAAAGGTTTGTCTGTTAATATTATTCTGTAAGTGTCTGGTCCTTTTGTATATAAATGTCAGTATTTTAGGCCGTATCTGACTGGTTGTTGCGCCCGGACGCACAGGGATTTAAGGGGAGAAGGACGCGCGCGCGGACACGCACATGTGTGACATCACACATGTGTGCGTGTCCGCGCGCACACATGTGTGATGTCACACATGTGCGAGTGTCAGGAGCTGTCAGTGCCGTGGAGCCACGCTGTTTGCAATAATATCGCTGTACCACTTGTGGATTACTGCGCTTCCATTCACGCGGGATTTACTACTTCGCCACGTGAGCTCCTGGATCGTGCGTCAAAGCCAGAGCGCGGGTAAACTTCTGGGACATTTTGGGGACAACTGAAGTTGCTCGGGACCGTAAACCGTGACCGTAAAGGGTGATGGATTTATATCGAACTGTTTCTTTATTGTTTTGTTGCACTGGAGTTTGGGTTTTGGGTTTGTGTTTGTGTTTGTGTTTTGTGTTTGGGTGTTGTGTGTTGTGTGGCCGTATTCGTGTGTCCGGCAATGCCAATAAAAGTCGGATAGGCCAACAGCATTTCCTTTTTTGTGTGTCTTTGTTTCACTCCCGCTGATAGGAATGGATCCTCCCGCGACCTAAAACATTTGCGTTGTAGCTTTTCTCTTGTCGAGAACAGGTGATTTGTTACAAAGGAGCGAGTGAAGGAGCGAGTGAAGGAGGTAGAGAATGAGGTAGAGAAGGAGGTAGAGAAGGAGCGAGTGAAGGAGCTAAACAGACTTGAGTGTGAGCGGCGTGGCCTCTCCACAGATCTGACCCGGAGCCGCTGCGTCTGGTTGCCGTGGAGATGTTAAGTGGTGTATTTGTTGTTTTGTGTTTCCAGGACGATTCTGCTCAGTGTCATTTCACTTCTGAACGAACCCAACACCTTCTCCCCCGCCAACGTGGACGCCTCCGTCATGTTCAGGAAGTGGAGGGACAGCAAGGGCAAGGAGAAGGAGTACGCCGAGATCATCAGGTAAAATACTGCAATACTGCAGTACAAGTACTACAAATACTACACACGACAGACAGCAAGGGCAAGGAGAAGGAGTACGCCGAGATCATCAGGTAAATACTGCAATACTGCAGTACAAGTACTACAAATACTACACACGACAGACAGCAAGGGCAAGGAGAAGGAGTACGCCGAGATCATCAGGTAAAATACTGCAATACTGCAGTACAAGTACTACAAATACTACACACGACAGACAGAGAAGGAGTACGCCGAGATCATCAGGTAAAATACTGCAATACTGCAGTACAAGTACTACAAATACTACACACGACAGACAGAGAAGGAGTACGCCGAGATCATCAGGTAAATACTGCAATACTGCAGTACAAGTACTACAAATACTACACACGACAGACAGAGAAGGAGTACGCCGAGATCATCAGGTAAAATACTGCAATACTGCAGTACAAGTACTACAAATACTACACACGACAGACAGAGAAGGAGTACGCCGAGATCATCAGGTAAAATACTGCAATACTGCAGTACAAGTACTACAAATACTACACACGACAGACAGAGAAGGAGTACGCCGAGATCATCAGGTAAAATACTGCAATACTGCAGTACAAGTACTACAAATACTACACACGACAGACAGACAGAGAAGGAGTACGCCGAGATCATCAGGTAAATACTGCAATACTGCAGTACAAGTACTACAAATACTACACACGACAGACAGAGAAGGAGTACGCCGAGATCATCAGGTAAAATACTGCAATACTGCAGTACAAGTACTACAAATACTACACACGACAGACAGCAAGGGCAAGGAGAAGGAGTACGCCGAGATCATCAGGTAAAATACTACAATACTGCAGTACAAGTACTACAAAAATACTACACACGACAGACAGAGAAGGAGTACGCCGAGATCATCAGGTAAAATACTACAATACTGCAGTACAAGTACTACAAATACTACACACGACAGACAGAGAAGGAGTACGCCGAGATCATCAGGTAAAATACTGCAATACTGCAGTACAAGTACTACAAATACTACACACGACAGACAGAGAAGGAGTACGCCGAGATCATCAGGTAAAATACTGCAATACTGCAGTACAAGTACTACAAATACTACACACGACAGACAGAGAAGGAGTACGCCGAGATCATCAGGTAAAATACTGCAATACTGCAGTACAAGTACTACAAATACTACACACGACAGACAGCAAGGGCAAGGAGAAGGAGTACGCCGAGATCATCAGGTAAAATACTACAATACTGCAGTACAAGTACTACAAATACTACACACGACAGACAGAGAAGGAGTACGCCGAGATCATCAGGTAAAATACTGCAATACTGCAGTACAAGTACTACAAATACTACACACGACAGACAGAGAAGGAGTACGCCGAGATCATCAGGTAAAATACTGCAATACTGCAGTACAAGTACTACAAATACTACACACGACAGACAGAGAAGGAGTACGCCGAGATCATCAGGTAAAATACTGCAATACTGCAGTACAAGTACTACAAATACTACACACGACAGACAGAGAAGGAGTACGCCGAGATCATCAGGTAAAATACTGCAGTACAAGTACTACAAATACTACACACAACAGACAGAGAAGGAGTACGCCGAGATCATCAGGTAAAATACTGCAATACTGCAGTACAAGTACTACAAATACTACACACGACAGACAGAGAAGGAGTACGCCGAGATCATCAGGTAAAATACTGCAGTACAAGTACTACAAATACTACACACGACAGACAGAGAAGGAGTACGCCGAGATCATCAGGTAAAATACTGCAATACTGCAGTACAAGTACTACAAATACTACACACGACAGACAGAGAAGGAGTACGCCGAGATCATCAGGTAAAATACTGCAAATACTGCAGTACAAGTACTACAAATACTACACACGACAGACAGAGAAGGAGTACGCCGAGATCATCAGGTAAAATACTACAATACTGCAGTACTACAATACAAATACTACACATGAGAGACAGCAAAGGGAAGGAGAAGGAGTACGCTGAGATTATCAGGCAAAATACTACAGTACTAATGCTACAAGTACTGCAGTACTACACACAAGTACTGCATCTGAGAGACAGTAAAGGGAAAGGCGTATATAGAGATCATCAGGTAAAATACTACAATACAAATACTACAAGTACTGCAACACTACACACGAGAGACAGCAAGGGCAAGGAGAAGGAGTACGCCGAGATCATCATGTAAAATACTACAATACTGCAGTACTAATACTACAAATACTACATCTGAGGGACAGCAAAGGGAAAGAGAAGATGTACACAGAGATCGTCAGTCAAAATACTACAGTACTGCAGTACTACTACTACAAGTACTACAATACTACACATGACAGACAAGAAAGGGAAACAGAAGGAGTACACCAAGATCATCAGGTAAAATACTACAGTACAAATACTACAAGTACTGCAATACTACACACAACAGACAGCAAAGGCAAAGAGAAGGTTTACATGAGATCATCAGGTAAAATACTGCAACACTACAATACTACTAATACAAGTACTACAATACTGAACAAGACAGACAATAAAGGGAAAGAGAAGGAGTACACAGAGATCATCAGGTAAAATACTGCAGTACTACAGTACAAATACTACAAATACTACACACGAGAGACCGAGAAGGAGTACGCCAAGCTCATCAGGTAAAATACTGCAGTACAAATACTACAAATACTACAAATACTACACATGAGAGACAGCAAAGGGAAAGAAGAGTACGCAGAGGTAAAATACTGCAATACTGCTACTACATATACTGTAATACTAACAGAAGTACTGCATCTAAGAGAGAGTAAAGGGAAGGATGCCAAGATCATCAGGTAAAATACTACAATACTGCAGTACTAATACTACAAATACTACAAATACTACACATGAGAGACAGCAAAGGGAAAGAAGAGTACGCAGAGGTAAAATACTGCAATACTGCTACTACATATACTGTAATACTAACAGAAGTACTGCATCTGAGAGACAGTAAAGGGAAGGAGAAAGAGTACACCAAAATAATCAGGTAAAATACTGCAGTACTACTACTACAAATACTGCAATACTACACACGAGAGACAGCGAAGGGAAGGAGAAGGAGCATGCAGACACGATCAGGTAAAATACTGCAGTACTACGACTACAGTACTGCAGTACTACACATGAGTATTACATCTGAGGGACGGCAGAGGGAAGGACAAAGAGTACACAGAGATCATCAGGTAAAATACTACAGTACAAATACTACAAGTACTGCATCTGTGAGACAGTGAAGGGTCGGGGGGTCAGGGCTCTGCCGGTGTTTACTCTGACCCTCTCTTCTTCTTCTTCCTCTTCTTCTTCTCCTCCTCGTCATCTTCGCGGGCAGGAAGCAGGTGCTGTCCACGGCCGCCGACGCCGACCGCGACGGGGTCAAAGTGCCCCGGACTCTGGCGGAGTACTGCATCCAAACCCGGATGCCCTCCCAGGACTCCAGCTCGGACCTGCTCTACGACGACCTCTACGACGACATGGAGGAGAGCGAGGAGGACGAGAGCGAAGGAGAGAGCGTCGGAGGAGCCCACGGAGGAGGACGAGTCTACGAAGACCAGGACGACTCGGGCAACGAGGACTCGTGATAGACAGAGGAGAGAGGAGGAGGAGGAGAGGAGAGAAGGAGGGAAGGAAGGGGACAGAGGGAGGAGACTAGGGAGGAGGACGAGTCTACGAAGATCAGGACGACTCGGGGGAATGAGGACTCGTGATGGAGAGAGAGAGGAGAGGAGAGAGGGAAGGAGACAGGGAGGAGAGGAGAGAAGGAGGGAAGGGGACAGAGGGAGGAGACTAGGGAGGAGGACGAGTCTACGAAGACCAGGACGACTCGGGCAACGAGGACTCGTGATAGACAGAGGAGAGAGGAGGAGGAGGAGAGGAGAGGAGAGAAGGAGGGAGGGAAGGGGACAGAGGGAGGAGACTAGGGAGGAGGACGAGTCTACGAAGATCAGGACGACTCGGGGGAACGAGGACTCGTGATAGACAGAGGACCAGGGAGAGGAGGAGAGAAGGAGAGGAGAGAGGGAGAGGAGGCGAGGAGAGGAGGAGGGAAGAGAGGGAGAGGAGGCGAGGAGAGAAGGAGGGAAGGGGACAGAGGGAGGAGCCCAGGGAGGAGGGCGAGTCTACGAAGACCAGGACGACTCGGGGGAACGAGGACTCGTGATAGACAGAGGACGAGGGAAGGAGGGAGAGAGGAGGAGAGAGGGAGTGTGGGAGGAGAGAGGGCGTGAGAAGGAGGGAAGGGAACAGAGGGAGGAGAGAGCGTGGGAGGAGCCCACGGAGGAGGACGAGTCTACGAAGATCAGGACGACGTTGAAAACAAAGACTCGCGAGAGACAGAGGAGGAGAGGAGAGAGGGAGAACGAGGAGAGAGGGAATAGAGAGGGAGGAGAAGGAGAGAGTGGTTGGAGGACGAGTCTGGGAACGATAGAGGGAGAGAAGGAGAGGAGAGGAGAGAGTGGGAGGAGGACGAGTCTACGAAGATCAGGACGACTCTGGGAAGGATGGAGAGAGGAAGAGAGAAAAGGAGAGGAGGAGGAGGAGTGAGGAGGTCATGCAGATTATTTAGTGAGAGGAGAGATCTGTTACTGAGAGAAGAGGAGGAGAAAAAGAGGAGAGGAGACGAGGAGGAGGAGGAAGAGAAGAAGAAGAGGAGGAGAGAGAGAGAGAGAAACACGTCTTTCTTCATCATCAGCTCGTGTTTCACTGGAGTTTCAGTTTCTGTGGAATCTTCACCGTTTGCCTTAAAGTCTGGAGCGCCCCCTGGTGTCTGCCGCCGTCTCACACCTCCACCTTTAAACAAAACACCGCACCACCTCCTTCTTCTTCTTTCTTTTTTCTTTTTACACGTTTTTTTTTTCGCCGCTGGGACACAGAACTCCTCCGAACACGACAAAAAGAACCGTTTTATTTTCATTTCGGCTCCACAGAATCACGCGTCGTGGTGAAGAGTTTGGTTTAAATGAAAAGACTCTTCCTCCTCTTCTTCTTCTTCCTCCTCTTCTTCTTCAGCTCTGTCTCGCGTTTTACTCTGGCGGGTCAAACGTACTTTCTGTTGTTTTATTTTGGCGAGGCTTCGGGGCAGTTCAAACCGTGGACTCAGATCGGTCGGATTTACCTCGATGTCGTTTCACCAAAATGTTCGAAAACGACTTTACGCTTTTTGTTTTCAGAGTTTTCAAAGTCGCTGCTTTACAACTGGTGGGAGCCGAAGAGCTGTTCACAGACGCCGTGTCACGCAGGGTTTATTTTTATTTTATTTTTCTCACATGTTCTAACGCCGTCGCTTCTTCAAAAACGTGTCTGTACGAGGCTCCGCCCACAAGCGACGTGATTATGAACACAGCTTTTCCAAAACCATAAGAGGAACGTGTTGATCTGTGACGAGTTACAGTGAACGTCTGAAGCTGCCGATACGATAAATACCTCGATACTTACGATACGTTTTTCGATACAGCACACTTTCGATTCAAAATGATTCGATACGATACACAGATGTCTCACTTCACAGAACAATCATTTTGTCAATTCTGGTCTAAAACCACCTGGTCTAAACCAGGTCTAAACCTGGTCTAAACCTGGTCTTAAACTGGTCTAAACCTGGTCTTAAACTGGTCTAAACCAGGTCTAAACCTGGTCTAAAACTGGTCTAAACCTGGTCTAAACCTGGTCTTAAACTGGTCTAAACCAGGTCTAAAGCTGGTCTTAAACTGGTCTAAACCAGGTCTAAACCAGGTCTAAACCTGGTCTAAAACTGGTCTAAACCAGGTCTAAACTAGGTCTAAACCTGGTCTTAAACTGGTCTTAAACTGGTCTAAACCTGGTCTAAACCTGGTCTAAACCTAAACCTGGTCTAAACCTGGTCTAAACCTGGTCTAAACCTGGTCTCGTGGGAATAATCTCAAATTTTCACTGAATGTTTAGAACCAGATGAAGATTTGATCTGTACCGTAAATTCGGGACTATAAGCCGCTCCTTTTTTCCCCTCACACTTTGAACCCTGCGGCGAAAACGATGCGGCGAATACGCGGATTCTTTGTTTGGCACATCGTCCGTTCATATTTACGGTCTACGCTTTGGCAATATAGCGGATCTGCGACGGTCTGAGTGCAGAAAACTCGTGAGAGACGCAGCGTGAAGTTCACCACGGTTTTCTTGACCCACCAGTTGTTAAATCAGTGATGTCGTGTTTCCGTAGATTTTTTCCTGTTTTTTTTTTTTCTTTGGTTTGAACAGTTTTTTTTGTTTTGTTTTGTTTTTTGTTTTTCTGCCGGTTACTGATGTTTGTGACTCTGTTCGAGCGACACCGGGACTGTGGGGCGACACCGGGACTGTGAGGCGCCACCGGGACTGTGGGGCGCCGCTTCAACCACATCTTCACATCAAACCTCCTGGACTCTTTGGAGAGACCTGGAAATATGAAATATGAAAAAAAAAAACACCCCAGGAAAGACTGAAGCTCCGTGTGCGAGCCTCTGGGCGTCGGGGAAATCTTCACTTTCACTTTTGGACGTTTTAACGCCAAAATAAAAGACGTTTCGTTTCGATGGAAGATCCGTAGGAGCAGAGCTGCATGACTGACTTTTGAACCGCTGCAGATCCGTGGACGTAACCTCGTGTGTTTCTCGCCTTTCGAGAGTTAAAAAAAAAAAAAAATCCTCTTGTTTTTGAATTTGTGGGTTTGTGTCACGAGCTGAAACGTCACTTCCTTCAGAATAAAAGCCTCACGCGGATGTAGCCATCGTCACACAAATTTAACATTTATATATTTTGTTCGTTTTTCTTCCATCTCTGTCACTTAGAAAGGAATATTTCAAAATAAAAGACTAAAAAATCATGTTTGGAATAAATGCACCACATTTTTCAGAATAAAATGCCCATATTATCAAACCAGGACTAAACCCGGACTAAACCCGGACTAAACCAGGACTAAACCAGGACTAAACCAGGACTAAACCAGGACTAAACCAGGTCTCGTCTGTTGCAGGTTTGGAGGTTTTTGGACGTTCTCTCTTTACATAGTTTTTCATAAATATTGAAAAGGAAAGAACCGTTTATTGACACAAAAATCTGCACATTGAGACATTTTTATTTATTTTTTCATTTATTAGGATTAAACATCTTTGTCCTTCGTCTGAAAACTGAAACACTCATCTGAGAATCGTCCAGATCAGAAGATCCAGACGACAGAGAGCAGCTGTGCACCAAGTAAAACTAAACCAGGACTGAACCAGGACTAAACCAGGACTGAACCAGGACTGAACCAGGACTGAACCAGGACTGAACCAGGACTGAACAAGGACTGAACCAGGACTGAACCAGGACTGAACCAGGACTGAACAGGACTGAACAGGACTGAACCAGGACTAAAACCAGGACTAAACCAGAGACTAAACCAGGACTAAACCAGGACTGAACAAGGACTAAACCAGGACTGAACCAGGACTAAAACCAGGACTAAACCAGGACTAAACCAGGACTGAACCAGGACTGAACAAGGACTAAACCAGGACTAAACCAGGACTGAACCAGGACTAAACCAGGACTGAACAAGGACTAAACCAGAACTAAACCAGGTCTAAACCAGGTCTAATCAAGGACTAAAACCAGGACTGAACCAGGACTGAACCCAGTGTAAACCTGGTCTCATTTCTCGGTCTGTGGGTCTGGTTCTGGAGGTTCTGGTGGGTCTCAGTCGGTCTGGTTCTGGAGGTTCTGGTGGGTCTCAGTCGGTCTGGTTCTGGTGGGTCTCAGTTGGTCTGGTTCTGGTGGTTCTGGTGGGTCTGGTTCTGGAGGTTCTGGTGGGTCTCAGTCGGTCTGGTTCTGGAGGTTCTGGTGGGTCTCAGTTGGTCTGGTTCTGGGGTTCTGGTTCTGGAGGTTCTGGTGGGGTCTCAGTCGGTTCTGGTTCTGGAGGTTCTGGTGGGTCTCAGTCGGTCTGGTTCTGGAGGTTCTGGTGGGTCTCAGTCGGTCTGGTTCTGGTGGGTCTGGTGGGTCTCAGTCGGTCTGGTTCTGGAGGTTCTGGTGGGTCTCAGTCGGTCTGGTTCTGGAGGTTCTGGTGGGTCTCAGTCGGTCTGGTTCTGGAGGTTCTGGTGGGTCAGGTGCTGGTGCGCCGCCCGCAGTGAGTCCTGGAGGTCCTGGTATCGGGCGAGGGCACAGGCCCGGTCCAGCCCGGCCCAGCAGAAGTCCCTGTGTTCGGAGGAGAGGGTGACGGGCGTGTTCGGGTCGCGCAGCTCCGCCAGCCAGTACAGAACCTCCTTGTTCTTCCCGCGGACCTGGTACCGAAGAGTCCGGACGAAATCCCGGACCACGGACAGATGGTCCAGACCCAGACCCGCCTCCTCCTGCGTCTCCCTCAGCGCCGTCGTCAGGTCGTCCTCCCCCGGGTCCACGTGTCCTGCACATCACCAGAACCAGAACCAGAACCGGGTCAAACACACGAGACAACAGAACCAGAACCGGGTCAAACACACGAGACACAACAGAACCAGAACAGAACCAGAACCGGGTCAAACACACGAGACACAACAGAACCACAACAGAACCAGAACCGGGTCAAACACACGAGACACAACAGAACCAGAACCGGGTCACAGGGGACATCATGGATTAGACTAAAAATCTAATTTAGTTCTAAACCAGGACCCAGTCAGTGTGAGTACCTCTAGGTGTGAGTACCTGTCGGGGTGAGTACCCTGTCGGTGTGAGTAACCTGTCGGGGTGAGTACCTGTCGGGGTGAGTACCTGTCGGGGTGAGTACCCTGTCGGGGTGAGTACCTGTCGGTGTGAGTACCTGTCGGGGTGAGTACCCTGTCGGGTGAGTACCTGTCGGGGTGAGTACCCCTGTCGGGGTGAGTACCTGTCGGTGAGTACCTGTCGGGGTGAGTACCTGTCGGGGTGAGTACCCTGTCGGGGTGAGTACCCTGTCGGGGTGAGTACCTGTCGGGGTGAGTACCTGTCGGGGTGAGTACCCTGTCGGGGTGAGTACCCTGTCGGGGTGAGTACCTGTCGGGGTGAGTACCTGTCGGGGTGAGTACCCGGTGTACCTGTCGGGTGAGTACCCTGTCGGGGTGAGTACCTGTCGGGGTGAGTACCTGTCGGGGTGAGTACCCTGTCGGGGTGAGTACCCTGTCGGGGTGAGTACCTTTAGGTGGGGTCCAGTGATGTTCTCCGTACGACGTTTGCAGAAGCAGAAACTCGATGTTTTCAGGAGGAAGTCGCCTGAAGATGATGAAGCCACAGGCCCTGAGCGCCATCGACTCGACTCAGCACGACTTGACTGGACACGACTGGACTCAGCACGACTCGACTGGACACGACTGGACTCAGCGCGACTCGACTGGACACCACTGGACTCAGCACGACTCGACTGGACTCAGCCACAGAAACACAAACATCAGAGCATCTCCATGGAGACGAACAGGACAGAACCTCCAGAGGAAAATTACAGAGTGAAGCTTTAAGAATTTACACAGACGCCTCAACAACAACAATAAAACCAGGACTAAACCAGGACTAAACCAGGTCTAAACCAGGACTGAAGCAGGACTAAACCAGGTCTAAACCAGGACTAAACGAGGACTGAACCAGGTCTAAACCAGGACTAAACCAGGACTGAACCAGGACTAAACCAGGACTAAACCAGGACTAAACCAGGACTGAACCAGGACTAAACCAGGGACTAAACCAGGACTAAACCAGGTCTAAACCAGGTCTAAACCAGGACTGAACCAGGACTGAACCAGGACTAAACCAGGACTAAACCAGGACTAAACCAGGACTAAACCAGGACTAAACCAGGACTAAACCAGGACTAAACCAGGACTAAACCAGGTCTAAACCAGGACTAAACCAGGTCTAAACCAGGACTAAACCAGGACTGAACCAGGACTGAACCAGGTCTAAACCAGGTCTAAACCAGGTCTAAACCAGGTCTAAACCAGGTCTAAACCAGGACTAAACCAGGTCTAAACCAGGTCTAAACCAGGTCTAAACCAGGACTAAAACCAGGTCTAAACCAGGACTAAACCAGGTCTAAACCAGGACTGAACCAGGACTGAACCAGGACTGAACCAGGACTAAACCAGGACTAAACCAGGACTGAACCAGGACTAAACCAGGTCTGAACCAGGACTGAATCAGGACTAAACCAGAACTAAACCAGGTCTGAACCAGGACTGAACCAGGACTAAACCAGGACTAAACCAGGTCTAAACCAGGACTGAACCAGGACTGAACCAGGACTGAACCAGGACTAAACCAGGACTGAACCAGGTCTGAACCAGGACTAAACCAGGTCTGAACCAGGACTGAATCAGGACTAAACCAGAACTAAACCAGGTCTGAACCAGGACTGAACCAGGACTGAACCAGGACTAAACCAGGACTAAACCAGGACTGAACCAGGACTAAACAGGACTAAACCAGGTCTGAACCAGGACTGAACCAGGACTGAACCAGGACTAAACCAGGACTAAACCAGGTCTGAACCAGGACTGAACCAGGACTAAACCAGGACTAAACCAAGACTGAACCAGGACTAAACCAGGACTGAACCAGGACTGAACCAGGACTAAACCAGGACTGAACCAGGACTGAACCAGGACTAAAACCAGGACTAAACCAGGACTAAACCAGGACTAAACCAGGACTGAACCAGGACTGAACCAGGACTAAACCAGGACTAAACCAGGACTAAACCAGGACTGAACCAGGACTGAACCAGGACTAAACCAGGACTAAACCAGGTCTGAACCAGGACTGAACCAGGACTAAACCAGGACTAAACCAGGTCTGAACCAGGACTGAAACCAGGACTAAACCAGGACTGAACCAGGACTAAACCAGGACTAAACCAGGTCTGAACCAGGACTGAACCAGGACTGAACCAGGACTGAACCAGGACTAAACCAGGACTGAACCAGGACTAAACCAGGACTAAACCAGGTCTGAACCAGGACTGAACCAGGACTGAACCAGGACTAAACCAGGACTGAACCAGGACTAAACCAGGACTGAACCAGGACTGAACCAGGACTGAACCAGACTGAACCAGGAACCAGGACTAAACCAGGGACTAAACCAGGACTGAACCAGGACTAAACCAGGACTAAACCAGGTCTGAACCAGGACTGAACCAGGACTGAACCAGGACTGAACCAGGACTAAAACCAGGACTGAACCAGGACTGAAACCAGGACTGAACAGGACTGAACCAGGACTGAACCAGGACTAAACCAGGACTAAACCAGGTCTAAACCAGGACTAAACCGGTAAACGCGCTTTAAATACAAGAATCCCTTTTTTTTTATGAATAATCTGCTCGTTTAACTCGCTCGGAAACCCGCCCGCGCTCCCCGTGGACAAGAACATTTATATATTTAAGTTTTATTCATTGTCATTTCGTAAAAAAATCTTTTCTAAATCAAAATCTGAAACTTACGCGTTTGCCGGAGCGCACTCGAACTCCGTCCCACCGGAAACAAACCTGAAACAACAGTTCCCCCCAACGCAAAATTTTTTTTTTTTTTTTATATTTTATTTTAGTAATAATTTTTTATTTCTTTTGCAGATTTTCAGATACAAACACAAACGGCACCATATAAAAGTAAACAGTTCACCTGAAAATAAAATAAATGAATAAAAAGCGGCATCAGCATTTTCCCTCAACTTATCTTCTCGCAGAATCTCGCGAGAGTGGCTGTTAACGGAGAAGAGCGATATTATTTTTTTCCAAGTTATTATTATTGTTGTTGTTATTATTATTATTTATTTATTTTTTATTTAGCATATTTTCAGATACAAACAAAAACGTCGCCTTATAAAAGTAAACAGTTCACCTGAAAATAAAATAAATGCATAAAAAACACAACAGTGGATAAAAACATATTCACATAATATAAAATGAGCAATTTCAAAGTTGTAATTTAATGGGAAAAAAAAATAATTCAAAAAGGACAGAAGAAAACCAGATTTTTTTTTTTTTCTGGACCCAATGAGCAAACAAAACGTTTTGGGTCGTTCTTCGAGTGTGTTATGTTTGGTTTAATCTTTAAAAAAAAAAAAAAAAAAGTCAATAAAATGTTTACTTAAAATGAAAAAATTGTTGATACCAAATTCTGTGTTTTTTTTTTAGTTTAGTTTTTTGTTTTTTTTTAGAACTTTAAAACTTCAGACACACTTTTTATTTGTAATGAAATAACAAATAAAAAGTTGTGTTGTGTAGTTCTGTTGTATAGTTGTGTTATGTTGTATAGTTGTGTTGTGTTGTATAGTTGTGTTGTGTTGTATAGTTGTGTTGTGTTATATAGTTGTGTTTTTTTTTTTAATTATTATTATTATTTTATTTTTTTATTATCATTTTTTTAAAATAATTTATTAAAACACCAAATTTGATTTTTATTTTCTTGTGATTAAATCGACAAACTGAACTCTCCTGGACTGAAGCCACGACTGAAAATCAAATCTATTTATTTTTTTTATTATTATATTTTTTTTAGAACTTTTAAACTTCACACACACTTTTTATTTATAATGAAACACAAATATTACTTTGTATTTATTTGTTTATATCAGTGTAAATACTCGTCTGTATTTCCCCGCAGAGGTATAATACTCCCTCCTCTTGTTCTTTTGGGGCCTGGTCTCTGCCCCTCGTGGTCCTGATAAGACTCGTGTCTCATATCTCCAACGGTCCAGTGTTTGGTTTGGAGATAAACTTCAGAACCGAGTCGAGTCGGAGACGAAGACGAAACGACGTCGACGACGACGCTTCAGGGTAAAAAAAAAAAAAAAAAAAATCTACTTTTCATTTTTTATTTTAAATCTGCAAAAACGTTTGAGTCAATTTTTTTGTGTCGGATTTTTAAAGTCCAAATGTGTTCCTCTGTTCTTCTGTGTTGGACTAAACCAGAACTAAACCAGGACTAAACCAGGACTAAACCAGAACTAAACCAGGACTAAACCAGGACTAAACCAAGACTGAACCGGACTAAACCGGACTAAACCGGACTAAACCAGGACTAAACCAGGACTAAACCAGGACTAAACCAGGACTAAACCAGGACTAAACCAGGACTAAACCAAGACTGAACCAGGACTAAACCAGGACTGAATCAAGACTAAACCAGGACTGAACCAGGACTAAAACAGGACTAAAACAGAACTAAACCAGGACTAAAACAGAACTGAACCAGTCCTGTTTTAGTCCTGGTTTAGTCTTGGGTTTTGTTTTTATTTTGAAAAACAAATGAATGACTGACACACAGATTCGATGAGTCAACGCAGAAATAAACTTCAGACTTTTCTTGGTTTGGTTTTGTTTCTGTGGAGATTTAAAAAAAAAAAAAAAAAAAAGGTTTAACACAACAATCCCAAACTGTTTTTGTTTTGTCTGAAAATTTGTTTTTATTTTATTTATTTATTTATTTTTTGTTTGTTTGTTTTTTTGTTTTTATTTTTATTTATTTTTTTGTTTGTTTTGTTTGTTTTTGTCTTTTGTTTTTGCTTTGTCTGAATTTTTATTTTTTAATTTTATTTAGTTTTTTGTTTGTTTTAGTTTTTTTTGTTTTTGAATTTTTGTTTTTGAATTTTGTTCTGGAATTTCTCTGGAACACAGTTTGACATCACACACACACACACACACACACACACACACACACACACACACACACACACACACACACACACACACACACACACACACACACACACACATACGCACACACACACACACACAGGCCACGTACCAGCTCAGGTCTGTGGAGAGGCGAGCCCACGCACAGAACACAGAGTCTGAGGGATTTTTGAGCCACGTCACTTCAGATTTAGGCCACGTTTATTCCTCAGGGTCTGTGTGTGTGTGTGTGTGTGTGTGTGTGTGTGTGTGTGTGTGTGTGTGTGTGTGTGTGTGTGTGTGTCTGTGTGTGTGTGTGTGTGTGTCTGTGTGTGTGTGTCTGTGCTGTTCTCTTCTTCACGTTTGAGGCTGGAGAGTCTGAAAATCCATGTTTTCACTCACCCCCTATCCCCGCCCCCTCCTCTGGGACAGAAAAGTCGAGTTCAAACACGACACGAAAAGATTTAACAACAAGAAAAACACAAACAAAAAAACAAATCTGCAGCTCGATACAGTGAAACATCTGTTTAGTCCTGGTTTAGTCCTGGTTCAGTCCTGGTTTAGTCCTGGTTCAGTCCTGGTTTAGTCCTGGTTTAGTCCTGGTTTAGTTCTGGTTTAGTCTGGTTTAGTCCTGGTTTCTGGTTTAGTCCTGGTTTAGTCCTGGTTTAGTCCTGGTTTAGTCTGGTTTAGACCTGGTTTAGTCCTGGTTTAGTCCTGGTTTAGTCCTGGTTTACCTGGTTTAAGTCCTGGTTTAGTCCTGGTTTAGTCCTGGTTTAGTCCTGGTTTAGTCCTGGTTTAGTCCTGGTTTAGTCCTGGTTTAGACCTGGTTTAGTCCTGGTTTAGTCCTGGTTTAGTCCTGGTTTAGACCTGGTTTAGTCCTGGTTTAGTCTGGTTTGTCCTGGTTTAGTCCTGGTTTAGTCCTGGTTTAGAGTTTCTGGTTTAGTCCTGGTTTAGTTCTGGTTTAGTCCTGTCCTGGTTTAGTCCTGGTTTAGACCTGGTTTAGTCCTGGTTTAGTCCTGGTTTAGTTTTCTGGTTTAGTCCTGGTTTAGTCCTGGTTTAGACCTGGTTTTCCTGGTTCAGTCCTGGTTCAGTCCTGGTTCAGTCCTGGTTTAATCCTGATTTAGTCCTGGTTTAGTTCTGGTTTAGTCCTGGTTTAGACCTGGTTTAGTCCTGGTTCAGTCCTGGTTTTAGTCCTGGTTTAGTCCTGGTTTAGTTCTGGTTTAGTCCTGGTTTAGACCTGGTTTATTTCTGGTTTAGTCCTGGTTTAGACCTGGTTTAGTCCTGGTTTAGTCCTGGTTTAGTCCTGGTTTAGTCCTGGTTAAGTCCTGGTTCAGTCCTGGTTCAGTCCTGGTTTAATCCTGATTTAGTCCTGGTTTAGTTCTGGTTTAGTCCTGGTTTAGACCTGGTTCAGTCTTGGTTCAGTCCTGGTTTAGTCCTGGTTCTGACGGTGTTCTTGTGTCGTGTAGAGTCATGTCTGTGGAGGGCGAGCAGCTTCACTTCGTGGGGACAAAGGAGGATCTGGTGTCGGCGCAGAAAACCGTCGTGAGTCTGGACGGACGAGACGTTCTCATCGTTCACCACCAGGGGGAGTTCTACGCCATCGACTGCTACTGCTACCGTCAGTGAGCTACAGACGCACAACAGACACAACAGACGCACACTACAGACGCACAACAGAGCACAACAGACACTACAGACGCACAACAGACGCACAACTGACGCACAACAGACACTACAGACGCACAACTACACTGACGCACAACAGACACTACAGACGCAACTGACGACACACACGCACAACAGACACTACAAGACGCACAACTGAGCACAACAGACACTAACAGACACACAACATGCACACAGATCACAACAGACACTACAGACACACAACAGACGCACAACAAACACTACAGACGCACACACAACACAACAGACAACACGCACAACAGACGCACAACAGACACTACAGACGCACAACTGACGCACAACAGACACACAACAGACACTACAGACGCACAACTGACGCACAACAGACACACAACAGACACTAGAGAGCACAGAGATGCACACACATACAGACGCACAACAGATGCACAACAGACACTACAGATGCACAACAGACGCACAACACAACAGACACTACAGACGCACAGACGCACAACAGACGCACGACAGATG